ATACAAGAATGAATAAAACTTGTCTTGTCTACGTGTTCTGTCCTTTGTCTAACCTTTGCGCTATTTAATTTTTACATCATGCATATCCAACTAGCCCACCTCAATATCTTAGATAAGTAGCTGGTCTGTTGTTTTGTCAGGCAGTAGCTTTTCTCGTCGACCCTGACTCACGGCGCACGGCTAAAATCATTGGCAGATATTAAGCCGGTAGCGTGACACACACAGAAAAGGAAATATTAGTGAATTTATGAATATATATTACCCGAAAAAAAAAATTTGGAATAGAAAGAGTCCAATGTGCTGGGTCAAAGCGAGATATTCTTTAGAACATTGGTTGTTTGGAAAGGGGCAAAGGGAGAAGGGCGAAAAGAGAACGGGCTCAAATGTGGGTGGTTGAAATACGAAGGACGAAATGGGAAAGGGCCAAATGCAACAGGTAAAACCGAGAAGATCTGTCTGAGAATGTTTTTTTTTTTAGAAAGGCCAAGTCAGAAGGGCGAAACGAGAACGGGCTCAAATGAGGGGGGTTGAAATACGAAGGACGAAACGGGAAAGGGCCAAATGCGACAGGACAAAGCCAGAAGATTTTTTTGAGAACGGCAGGTTCACGATGTCCGTAGGACTCGTTGCGCCGAGTAGATTAGCCAACCGCTCCGTGATTTGCATTGCCACAGAAGTTGATATCGTGCCACATGCCACCGATTGTGGTTTCATCTTGTAATTCCACCGCTGCCACTAAATAATGTGGGCGTCTCAGCTCATGGGAAAAACGAGCGAAATAGAACACTCAGTTCTTAGTTCCTCTCGCGCCTTTTCTTGTTCTTTCTTTTCCTTCGTTCTTCTTGCCCATTAAAATTATAATTAAGAATTTCGAGCATCATGGCGCACTTGAAATCATTGTTCTGTATCATCAATTTAGTGGGAGCTCAATCTTTATGTGTGATTGATCGTCAATAATTGCAATATAGAGATGGCAATGAACAAAATTCTGTTTTCTTATATATATATTCTCTTCAGGTTGTAGACGTCAAGAGTGGCCAAGTGCTCGGGCCAAACGAGAAAGGAGAAGCACTAGTGAAGTCGCCATCTTCCATGCGGGGCTATTACGGAAATCCGGAAGCTACGTCACAGGCGATCACTCCCGATGGATGGGTGAGAACAGGTAGACGACGGCCATTACTTATTTAGGTGACAAGGTGAAACCTAAAATACTTTTAATTTGGCACAAGCGGGTGCCCAGATTGAAACAAAGAACAGCTGTATATGAATCAGTTCGATAACCATGTGACAACACACGATAATATAAAAAATTATACACTTTTATGCAATTTATATAAGTTAGGGTATGCTCATTGGACACCCAATATGCAACATTTATTTATTAAGAAAAGGATAGTGGTAGTTGTAACATAAAGTATATTTCGTACCTCGCGTTCGGACACCCGAGCGGTTTAGATCAAAAGGTCAATCACGTTTTCAAACATTGTACTGTTACGCAAGGGCGTCCTGTCTTTGCTCCCACATACCGTCTTAGAACTGAAAGTCTTCCCACGGTTTATCGGGAATTTGATTGCGTGCTATATTTCGAGGGTATGTGATGTCAAAAGAAAATTACGTTCCCTTGTTGAACTGATCCTAAATGTCACTGCTGGTGACTGGCCCGCGTGTAAGGGTTATCGTGCTCACATCGCACACAACCGTACTTGAGTGGTATCCAGTCCCACATATCAGTGGTTTTATAAAATCATAGCCTGTAAAATTTATTTGCAACGAACTTGAATGAATCAAGCCGTATGATCAGATACCCCGCTGAACCTTTAGATATGTCGCCGACCTCAGTTGCCAATTTTTTTTTAACTGTTTGTGTAAGTTTCGATGCTATTTTTGTGCCGCAACGCTACATACATTTTTATAAACCAGGTGAGAGCAGGTCTTGTCCTCGTTTTGCCCATCTTGCTGATGCGTTCATCGGCTTGTCGTGAAAACATAAATTGGCGACCTATACGACATCTCCAGCTATTTTTCGACAGCCTTCTGTTTTTTTTTTCCTCTTAAATTTGAAAATAAAGAGATGTATCTTTGGAGTTTCAAAAATAGATTTTCTTGTCATCGCACCATTGGATGACAGGAATCAAGCGGTGCGGTCAATTCGCCAGATAAAGTAGCGCTTTCTGTCTCCAGAGTAAAAAAAGTCCTGGTCGACGCCACACTCATTGTCCATCGTCAGTCACAAAGAGATCAGATGAGGTGGCTGATTTCTTTCAGGATAACTAGAGGATAGGGTACGTCTTTTCAGTTGACATTGAAGATTTGTTTTATTCAGTCCCGCACTGGTGAATTGTTTAGTGCAGTAGTGACGTAAATGGAGTTGTTTCTTTCCAGAACACGGCAGGAGTCTCAGTTGAAAATTTTCTAAACTTACTAGAAGCATACCTTAACAGCACTTTTATTTCCTTTGACAATCATCTTTATTTACAGAAAAAGGCATATGCATTGGTTCGTGCGTAGCCCCTATACTATGCAACATTTTTTAGCAGCAACTGATCAGACGCTTGAGCAGGCTCTTAATGATTTTAATGTTTGTAGAGTGTTTAGATACGTGAATTATTTTTTAATTGTTTTTAGAAAGCAGACTTCTCTGACGTACACTGATGGTGTGAATGAGATTTTAGAGGTTTTTAGACGCCATGGCAAAGGCTTGTATTTTACACATGAGCTGCCCAACCAGGGAAGCCTTCAGTTGAACCTTTTGCTCAACCTTGAAGCTTTTGTTCTTGGAAGAACACGTTTGTTGGATGTATTCCCCGGGGCCTCGAAAGGAACTCCTGCCGTATGACTCAGCCCATTCAAAGGTAGTTAAAAGAGGAATTCCTAAGCTTTGCCTTGAGTCCGCCCTCAGAAAATCATGTGTTCACAGGATACAGGCAAGCTTTAGCAACCAATTGGCTCGACTATTGTCAGCGGGCTTCCCTGATTCGGTCTTGAGGAGTGTGGCGGAAACCATCCTGCAAAGAGTGAAGGGACACACTGCTGAAAAAAAAAAAAGATGCAGTCAACACTGAGGAATAAGAGGCCTGAAGCGGTACCATACATGCACAAACGTTCGCATACCCTCAAGAAGGTTGCGAACAGACATGGGGTGCCGCTTGTGTTTACAGCTCCCGACAAAACTCGGCCAACTCTGCGCCCGAATTACTGGAGGAAGCAGACAGAAGCGAGGATGCAGCACAAAGTATGCCAGGCCGTTTGTTGGCTGCAAAACAGAGGTCGTCTATGAAATCCCGCTCACGTGTAAGAAGACATAGGTGGTGCAAACGGGAAGGTGTGCCAACGACCGTCTCAGGGAACATGCTCGAAATTTAAAGACTAATGTCGGGGCACATTTGCCTGCACACTGCAGAAACTGTAAGTGTGAGCCACGTTTTTCTGACACAGCAATTTTGGGCGGAAGTAGGGGACAAAGAGCACGTGAGCTGTTGGAAGCCTTCTTGATCAAAAGGAAAGGCGACCTATGTGTGAGCGATACCTCGATAAGTTTGCATAATGCTGAAAAACGCTTCCTTGATAAGTTTCCGTGACGACCGTGACACGACGCATGCGCGGACGCATTGAAGTTGACGATATATCTGTATGTTTTCTAAAGGTTTCTTCAATACAGTTGTAAGTTGCGGTCGTGTTTGTTTCTCTCTCTTGTGCCCGTCTTTTTTGCGCAAAACCATGTATCCAGATTTAACTTATGTGCAAGCATAACCGAAGCTCAACGCACGAACAGGTTTCCCCGAAAAGGTAGTTGCACCACACGGGCTCGCATGCTTGGCAAGGACCCGAAAAGGACAGAGCTCGCTAAATCAAATTTGGGGGGTTTACGTGTCAAACCAACGACGGCCATCTGGCACGCCCCAGCGGAGGACTGGGGGTTAATTTGGACCACCTGGGGATCTTTTGACATGCAACCGAAAGCTCGGTTACGGACAGAGCTCGTTCTTGAAGCTTCTCTTGAGCTCATACTTATAGTGATACGAAGTCTAGACGCCGACGCCAGTCAGCAAGTCGATACGTTAATTAAAATCAGACCTTCCTACACTGACGGAACATCTTCCCCTCTGACATCATAAATGTCACCCTCAGAACCTTAGGTACGTAACTCAATTGCTCAGAGACTAAAGCCGGCCATAAATGCCCGGTTACAACTGAACAATTTAGTGATACCAGACTGCCATCTGCTTGAAGCGTGAAACTCAGAGATGTCAGCTGATATTAAGCAACCAAACTACCTGGCACTGATGCACAGCTATGCTTCTTGTTCGGTGAATAATACCCAAGATAGCCTGGCTGTTGCGAGAAAATATTAGGTTTGGTTGTTTTTTTGGTTAAACAGTTATGCTATTTGGCTCGTTTTTTACTGTAATATTTGTCCGAATATTCGGCACATGAACTAAAAGAAAGTGGTGTATTAAGCAACGATTTTGGTGGAACCGAGCTCATCACCTTTTGCACATCTAAAAGACTAGAGATCAAGTCTAGCTGCAACAGCTGCTACTGAGACCATCGAAATCTCAGTGGAAACTGCATATCACTGAAGGTTGCTTCCATGCATCCTCTTGCACATTCCGCGCCATATTCAGTGTATGGCGCAGCTTCCTCTCCTCATTATTCATTTGTAGCGCCAGGACACTTTAGAGGACATATTTGGTGGCCTATGTTTAGGTGTGGAATACGGCGAACCAGGACGCTGCAGTGGGTCACGTGAGAGCCGCTGCTGACGAATGTGCAACAGTGCCCAAGAATAAATCTAAACCAGAATATATATAAACCAAAAAGAACGCAGCATAGAAGCTGCGTTTTTAATATTTCATACTAAGATGCTTTAACACCGACAAGTTTATAATAATTCAGACAGAGTGTAGTTTTGGTTTACTTATTTAAAATTCCCAGCTTGTTTCGTTTACATAAACTCATAAATCGCCACTTCAGAGATGATCGGTACATGCTAATTGCAGGTGACATCTGCTATTACAATGAAGATGGCCAGTTCTTCTACGTTGAGAGAATGAGCCAGTTTTTCCGATGCATGGGTATACAAGTAGCCCCCTCCTCCATTGAGAGCGTGTTGCTCAGCCACGAAGGAATCGCAGAAGCGGCTGTCATCGGTGTTCCTCATCCACAATATGAAGAAGTGGCCATGGCGTTTGTTGTGTTGAAAGAATCTCGCGGGAAAATCACCGAGGCAATGCTGCAAAACTTCGTCGCAGGTGACCATTAATCTCAACATTATTTACACCGCATGGATAATATAACTACAAAATTGAAAGAATTAAGACATATTTTAAAATAAAACTGAAAGAAATAGTGCGGAGAGGTTTATTGTACGTAAATTCCAAAAGATTTAACCACACAGCTGTCTTTTTATCCATCCTTTTTAAAAGGCACTCGGTAGTAATATTTGCTTTTCCCATTCTCTCCAGGTCATCTTGGAAAGTACATGCATCTTCATGGAGGCGTCAAGTTTGTTCACACGTTACCAAGAGACAGCAACGGCAAAGTCATCAGAAAACAATTGCAGATGCTTCACGTGGACTATTAGTCTCACTCTTTACGTCCTGCAATATAGGGATGATTTTTTAAATTTTAATTCAAGGTAATTTTCGATTTAAAGCCTTGTAACAAACGCCTTTTAGAGCGCAGCTCTTAGGCGCCCGTTTCCGGCATGAGCGGCGTCGCCGTCGCCGTCGGCGTAACCGCGCGGTGCATTATGTCCCATAATGTCCCATAATGCACCGCGCGAGCCCCCCCCCCCCCGGGGTCACGTGACCTCGGGTGGGGGGGGGGGGACATGATTCCCCGACCCCCCGAAGTCACGTGACTCCCCTGAGGTCACGTGCCCCCCCCCAGGGTCACGTGACCCCCCCTCGCTGAGGTCACATGACCTCCCCGATGACGTCATCATCACTGATGACGTCACCGGCATCCGCATCGTCCCCGTCGTCACTGATGACGTCATCAGTGACGTCACTGATGACGTTACCGGCATCCGCATCGCCATCGTCATCATCACTGATAACGTCATCAGTGATGTCACTGATGACGTCACTGGCATCCGCATAGTCATCGTCATCATCACAGATGACGTCATCAGTGACGTCACTGATGACGTCACCGACATCCGCATCGTCATCGTCATCATCGCTGATGACGTCATCAGTGACGTCACTGATGACGTCATCGGTATCCGCATCGTCATCGCCACTGATTACGTCATCAGTGACGTCACTGATGACATCATTGGCATTGTCACGTGACCCCCCAAGGTCACGTGACCCCCCCCCCCAGGTCACTTCACCCACCCACCCCAGTACCCTTCCCTCCTCCTCAAGAACTGCGCTCTAATTCGGTGTTACAGGGAGTTGTAAACGGCTTTTTTTAGAGTGGTATTTCTGGTGATCGGTTCGATATAGTTTGAGGATGCTGCACGTAATAAAGGCAGCCGAATTTATTCCGGTGTTTAAAAACGCATTGTGCATAAATGTATGTTGGTACCACAGAAAATGGTAAAATACGACGGGATAAAATAAAAAACACGAATGAGCAGAAAGTAAGAACATTTATTAATCTAGGCACAACTAGACGGCTTGACTGTGACGTCATCACACCTTGCTGGTAGCCCTTCTAGCGAACAAAAGGTTAGGGTGCAAACGATCTGCGGATGGTTGACTAAAGCTCCGAGGCTGGCACGAGAAGGGACGGACAAATAAAAACCATTCTGCTTGTATTGGCTTCAAGCTCCACAAAAAATTTAAGTGAAAGTGTGAAAGAGAAAGAAGAAGGAGTTACACATAACACTCATTCCACCATAAAAAAAAATTTTTTTTCGAACGGTGGTCACTGTTTCGGTTTATTTCATAAATTGTGTGTCGTATTCTTCGTTCCTCCTTTTCGTTCTCTCTTTCGCTTCTATTTTTTGTGTATCTTGAGGTGAATATAAGCAGAATCTTCTGTCAAAGCAAAATTTAGCTGTGTTTCAGATTTTATGTTTGTCCATCCCTTCTAGTCCCAGTATCGGGATTTTTGTCATTAATAGAACTAGGTGTCACAAAAAAATATTAACATTTTTTTTACCACAAAAAATAAATTAGGCTTTGTCGAACGCTCATTTTCCGACCAAAGGTAGCGCTAGAGGTCGCAACCAGATGCCAAAGATTCACCCCGATCCGATACCTTGTTCAAAAGTTTGTACTTTGTCCCTCTTGTTCCCCTTCTGAACGTATTATTTTCGTTCTTGTCCAGCTCGCTTGCACCTTTGCATTTAATTGCATTATAGTTATCAGTGATTTTCTGAAAATTTCAATAGGAAAATGACGACCGACAGTGTTTTCGAATACATGGGGCTCTTTGGCACCACATCTCGAAAACGGGCCGAAAATGGGCTCCACTTTCCCATTGAAATTTTCAGAAAATCCCTTGTAACTCTTGAATAAGGTATCGTGCCGGGCTAAACTTTGGCATCTGGTTGTGACCTCTAGCGACACCTTTGGGTGGACAATGAGCATTCCGCGATACCTAGTTTATTTTTGCGTTATAAAACTCTGTAAATTTGTTTCGTGAAGCCCTGTATAGCTACTTCTTGCTGAATGAAACAGCGCGGATACACAGTCACACTCACAGACACACAAGAAGGAAACAGACGGGCAGCACAGAATAACAACTCAGTAATAGTTTTCTTCTTCCTCAAATTATCATCTTCACACTCGCCGTTTAAGAACATATTGAGTTTTTAAATTTTTAAACACCAGAAACCAAATAGCCAAAAACATAAATAAATAAATATTAAATAAATAAATAAATAAGTGACACCTAAAATAAAATTCAAAATAAATTTAAAAGAAATAATTAAAACAACTTTAAAAAAAGTAATATTTATTAAAAAATAATTAAAAAAAATAACCTAAAAATAATAATATTGTCACGGATGACAAGTGACGAAGCGGCGAATGACTCAGTAAACTGAACGTTTAATTGAGTGAACTTGTGCCCCAAAATTAAAGGAAAAAGAAATATAACAGCAGAGCGTCGCGGGCGTCGAAGGCGGCGAAGCAGCAAGATGGAACGCTGAGGCGAAACTGACTCGACAAGGTCGAGGGCGGCCTCTTATCAAGAGTGAGTCACAATCTCGAAGATTCAGCGGAGAAGGTTCAAGTGTAGCACGCTCGGGGCGAGAATGAACACGCACTTTCTAGAACAAGAAAGCAGGAATAAAGGATGGAAGTTGCGCCCGGAACAAGAATAAACGAGAACGTTCTAGAGCTCCGTGACCGAGCATTGATTTCCCGGCACAGCGCGCGGCATTATCCCGCCCTTTAAAAGTGCCTCGTCCCGATGCAGCACAAACGGAAAACAAACAAAAAAACAAAAGGACAGCAGAATTGCGAGCCACAGTTCACAGTTCACAGTTCACTCGTCGACGAGAGTAGAAAGTTCTATCGTTCGTAATACGACTTCAGCCGGACGACGTGCACCACCTCGGGTCGCAGCTGACGTCTTGCAGATGGGCGCGTTCCGTCGGGTAGAACTTCGTAGTTCAGATCGCCGAGGCGTCGGATGACCTTGTAGGGTCCGAAATAGCGTTTCAGAAGCTTCTCGCTGGGACCTAGGCGCCGTATTGGTGTCCAAACCCATACCCGGTCTCCGGGTTGAAAGTGGACGTCTCGGTGACGAAGGTTATACCGGCGTGCGTCGACTCGCTGTTGGTCTTGAATCTTGATTCTTGCCAGCTGACAAGCTTCCTCCGCGCGCTGGGAGGTCAGTTGAGCTTCGAGGTTGCCATCGTCGGCTGGCACGTGAGGCAGCATGGCGTCGAGCATTGTGGTAACCGTCCGGCCGTGCACCAGTTGGAACGGTGTCATTCCCGTGGTTTCCTGAGCCGCTGTGTTGTACGCAAACGTGACGTACGGCAACACCTCGTCCATGTCTTGTGCTCTACGTCGACGTACATGGAGATCATGTCGGCGATGGTCTTGTTGAGCCGCTCCGTTAGCCCGTTGGTCTGCGGGTGATAAGCGGTTGTTCGTCGATGGCTGGTATGACTGAGCCGAAGAACTTCTTGGGTCAGCTGTGACATGAAGGATGACCCGCGATCTGTGATCAGCACTTCAGGGGCGCCGAGTCGAAGGAGAATGGATTCGACGAAAAACTTGGCGACTTCGACCGCTGTTCCCGATGGCAGGGCTTTCGTCTCGGCGTATCATGTAAGATAATCGGTCGCGACGATAATCCACCGATTTCCTTGCGTCGATGTCGGGAACGGCCCAAGTAAATCCATTCCGATCTGCTGGAAGGGCGAAGTCGGGGCAGGTATCGGCTGTAGGAGTCCTGCTGGCTTCGTCGGAGGCCTCTTACGTCGTTGGCACTCATGGCATGATCGTGTGCACAGGTGGACTGTTTTCGGGAGTCTCGGCCAGTAGTAGTTGTCACGAATCCGGGCGAGCGTCCTGCTGTATCCAAGGTGTCCAGCCGTCGGGTCGTCATGGCATGCTTGAAAGATTTCTTCTCGCAGGCTGGCCGGAACAACCAGTAGCCAGGCAGTGTTGCTCGTTCCGAAGTTCTTCTTGAAGAGCACGCCTCGCCGCCGAACGAAGCTTGGCAGGTCTCGGGCCAAGACTCGCAGAACTGAACTTCCTTGTCCTTCGAGGTGGTCGATCACGGCGCGAAGTTCGGGGTCGTCTCGTTGAAGTGCTCCCATGTCAGTATCCGTAAGTGCTCCGAGAAAACGGGCGTCATCGTCGTCGTCGGTGCTGTCGGGTGGAGATTCGATTGGGGCCCTAGACAAACAATCGGCGTCATTATGCTTGCGGCCAGACTTATGCGCAATGGTTACGTCAAATTCTTGCAGTCGAAGGCTCCAGCGAGCGAGGCGTCCTGACGGGTCCTTAAGGTTGGCGAGCCAACAGAGAGCGTGGTGGTCCGTGACGACGCGGAACGGGATCCCGTACAGGTACGGACGGAACTTGGTTAACGACAAAACGACAGCGAGACATTCCTTGTCGGTATTGAGTAATTTTTCTCTGCCTTG